ACCATTACTGATCCCAAAACCAGACAAGGTTCCAACCAAAAAAGAGTATATTATAGGCCAATCTCTTTAATGAATATAAATACACAAATCCTCAACAAGATATTACCAAATGGAAGGCAATGAATCATTAAAAAGATCATACATGATGACCAAGTAAGTTTCATTTTACGTATGCAAGAATGGTTCGACATACACGTATCAATAGATGTCATACATCTCATAAAGAGAAGGATGAAAATCACATGATCATCCCCATAGACACAGAAAAAGCCTTTCACAAAATCTAACATGATTTCATGATAAAAATACTGAAGAAAACAGGTACAGAAGAACCTCATCTCAATCTGATAAAATCCATATATGACAAACTGACTGTCCATATCATACTAAATGGGGAAAAACTGAAAGCTTTCCCTCTAAAATCAGGAACAAGACAAAGATATCCACTATCACCACTCCTGTTCAACATAGTACTTGAAACATTAGCAAGAGCAATTAGGCAAGAGAAAGATATAAAGGAGATATGTACAGGAAAGGAAGAAGTCAAATTATCATTATTTGCAGATGACATGATCCTCTATATAGAACCCCCCCCCAATCCACAATATCGCTCAGAACTAATAACCAAATTCAGGAATATAGCAGGATACAAAATCAACACATAAAAACCAAAAGTATTTCTGTATGCTAATAATGAACCCACTGAGAAAGAAACTAGGAAAAAATACATTCACAACAGCACCAAGAGTAATTAAATACTTCAGAATTAACCAAGGAAGTGAAAGACCTCTACAATGAAAACTACAGTATTCCAAAAAAGAAAATCAAAGAGGAGTCAGAAAATTAAAAAAAAAAAATCCCTTGTTCCTGGATAGGCAGAACCAAATAGTAAAAAATACCAATATAGTACATAGTAAAAATATAGTAAACCAGTATTGATATACAGATTTACTGCAATTCCAATCAAAATTCCAACAGCATTCTTCACAGAACTGGAGAAAATAATCCTCAAATTCATATGGAACCAGATGAGACCCAGAACAGCAAAAAATATCCTGGGTTAAAGAGAGCAAAGTGGGAGACATCTCAATCCCAGACCTAAAGTTACACGTATTACAAAGCTACTATGATAAAAACAATAATGGTACTAGCACAAAAACAGACATGAGGATCAATGGGAAAGAATAGAGGATGCAGGAACAATTCCAACCACATTTGATCTTTGACAAAGGGGCCAAAAACAAACACTGAAGGAAAAAAAGCCTCTTTAATAAATGGTGCTGGGAAAACAGGCTATCCACAAGCACAAGATTGAATATTGACACACATCTCTCACCACGAAGTAAACTAAATGTTAAAACAGAACCTACTGGAAGATAAAGTAGGTAAAACTTGAAGTCATAGCTGTAGTTAAGGACTTTCTGCAAAGGATACCAGTTGCACAGAAAATAGTACTGAGAATCAACAAACGGAATCATATAAAATAAAAAAGCATAGCAAAAAAACCCCAAAACTTCAAAATAAAAACAACAACAAAAAAAAACCAGAGTGAAAAGACAACGTACAGAATGGAAAGAAAATTTTGCTAGCCCTTCCTCAGACATTGGAATATATATCTAGAATATATAAAGAAATAAAAAATTAGGCCCACCTCAAAATAAAAGACCCAATCAAAAAATGGGTAAGTAAATATGAATAGACACTTCATGGAAGAAATGCAAATGGCCAATAAATACATGAAGGAAAGCTCAATATCAAGAGCCATTAGAGAAATGCAACTTAAAACAACACTGAGATTCTACTTTACCCAAGAAGGAATGGCCATATCAATAAATCAAATAATAGCAAATGCTGGAGAACACGAGAAAATGGAACCCTTCTACATTGTTGGAAGGAATGTAAACTACTACAACCACTATGGAAATCTGTGTGGTGATTCCTCAAAAAATTACAACCAGAAATTCCATTTGACTCAGCTAGGTATCTTTCTAAAAGTATTAAAGATATCATATTACAGTGATACAAGCACATCCCTGTTTCATAATAGCTAAATTTTGGAAGTTGTCTGTCCATCAACAGATAAATGGATAAAGAAAATGTGGTATTTACACACAACGGAGTAGTACTCTGCAATACAGAAAGAAAAACTGGAGTCATTTGCACCTTGAAACCATAATGTTAAGTAAAATAATGTTAACACAAGCTTAAATATCATATGATTTCTCTTACATGAGAAACCCAAAGTATAAATACCTATAAAGAGAAGACTAAAAGAAAATAGGAAGTAGGGAGACAGATCTTTCTCAAAAGGGAAAGGGATCAAAAGATGGAGGGAAAGGGAGAAAGGGGAAAGGAAAGGGAATGAAAAAAGGAATGAAGATATAGTATCTACATGTATCAACACCTCACAAGGAATGTAAACACTATGAACTACAAACATGTACTAATAAAAAAGCATTCTTATGAAAGACAATATTAGATTTACTAGTACCTTATTTTAGCTTTATAATTCAGACACTTCAATGCTGATTTCTTAATCAGTTAAAACTTAGAAACTCTAGAAACAAGTATATAATTACAAAAATAATAAAAATGGAGTTTTTGTTCTTCAGTATAATAATTTTCAAGGATTCATTAGATGTTAACAATATAACAAACAAGAATCAAATTGCTCTGAAATAAGAGGAAAAGTATCTGAAAAAAATTTAAACTTTAGATCATATATTTATTATTATTAAAATTGGTAAAATATAACTCACAATTAGCAAAAGCAAAACTAAACATTTAAAATTTATAGTATATATAGATTTGCATTTGGTTATACTAAGAACTAAGTTTTTAATAATTCATTAAATGTTTAAAATTTAACTGGATTTACTATAATGCACAGCTGAAACTATTAACCAATTTTAACTCAGGTAATGTATACATCACATTTCCACTCTGGTAAAGTCAGTTTTAATTTAATGTAATTTTGCAGTAATACTTATGAATTATTTCATAGAAAAAAACCTGACTATATTATAAGAGTTTTATTTCTTTAATAAATAATTGTGTTGTCTTGAAACCAACTTTGTCTCTTCATGGATCTGCATCTCTAATTTTATAATAGGAATCAACATAAAAACATTATTTCTTACATGCTTTATAGGAAAAAAACTGACTACAAAGAAATGTAAGTTTCCTTTAATCCCACAAAGTTGTAAGAAAACACCTGAGAACAACCTATTTGCTGATCAACATCATTCTACTGCAGCAATTAGAGAGAAGAAAACATGTAATTCTCTTTTTTTCAGTCTGCTATCAAAACTCCTCATGACAGACATCAAAGCAGTGATCAATAATATCAAAGCTGTATTCAAACAGAACTTCTTTGAATTGTCTCACTACCACTTACTAAATTATCAAGACCAAGTTATTTAATCTTTCTATATCCAACTTTCAGAATGTACTAAGTGATATTTTGGTGCAGATTAAGCAAGATAATATAAACACCTGGCAGATAATAAGAGCTCAGTAAGTGAAAGAAGAGAACAGCAATGTTAAATACACAGAAAGTGTTGAGCAAGAAATCAGGGAATGCCTTTTAATTTGGAAACTTCCCTGGAGAAAACAGCTGACCTGGAAAACTAAACTAGGATTTTTCTTCACCTAATTAAGTGGTTATCAATACTGACTTCAGAATAGAATCATTTGGAAGTTCTTAAAAACTACCAATTCCCAAGCTCCACACAGAACCAATAAATATAAATATCTAGCTAAACTAGATGTGAAGATGTGGTAAAAAAAAAAAGCTACACTAGTCAGACTGTTTGCAAGCTGCTTCTAAAGATTCAGATATAATTT